TCATTTCAAAGCCACAACTGAGTTTTGCTTGCATCCAAAGTCAGCACCTCCTCTGATGTTTTTGTGGAGGACAGTTAATGTGTGTGTTTATAATTTGAATGAGGTTTTGTACCTAATCTCTTTTTTTTCTCTTTGGGTCACACCTGGCTATGCACAGGGGTTACTCCTGGCTCTGCTTTCAGTAATTACTCCTGAAGGTGCTCAGGGGACCATATGGGATGTTGGGAATCGAACCCCGGTCAGCCACATGCAAGGCAAATGCCCTACCCGCAGTGCTATAGCTCCAACCCCAGTACCCTAATCTTTAATCACTTTAATTATTCTACTTACTAACATACATATGCCCCTAATTAATATATTTTATGAATTACACCAAGTGAAAATTGTTATTATTTACCATTTGTGTGAAAATAGTGATGATGCATTTAAAAAAATATTGTTTCAGAGTGGTTTATTTTTTTTCCCAGATGATGCACTAGCTCTTAGTCTATTATAGGTAATGGACCAACTTGGGAAATCTCAAGTCTGGTCTTTGAATTAGGAGTAACTTTAATGTGAAGTTATTAAAAATAATTTCTCTGTGTTATTAAAACTGTCATGATAAAGGCATGAGGGAGGAATTCTATAGGCCATTTAGAGCATGAATCTGAGAAAGTCATTATGTAAAATAATTGCTTCATTGGTCACTGGAATGTATATACACTTAAATGTATTTATCCTTAAAACTGTGGGAGACACTGTTAGTTCTTCTCCCTACAACCTTATTCCCACACTCTCTTGATTAAGAAAAACTCTGATTTCATTGGAATGGGCAATGGCCCCAACCCTTGGGCATAAATATTGATAGCAGTAATCTATTCTCATTTAGCAGTGATTGGTTAGGGCCAGGCATGCATCTCAGTTATGTACAGTGTTAAAAAAGAGAAAGCCTTCTGCAGAAGGGTAAAGAAAGGAAAGAAAGAGACAGAGACAGGCAGATGCAGTGAGAGAAGTGAGATATAGAAGGGGTAGCGAGAGAGATGGAGAAAATCAGAAGAAAGAAAAAACACGTCTACCTTCACGCTTTCTGTTTAAAGTGCTGTGCTACCAGAAAATGCTTGCAGCTTTGACAGCCATTTTGTGGCCATGAAGAGACATCACCAGCAGAGTAGGGTAACAGGAGCAGGTGGCAGTGTAGAAAGATAAGAGTCTGGTATTAATTCCAACAGTACTGAGCCACCCTTTGGACAACTTAATACTTTTCTGAATAGCATTTTTTCTTTTATTATAATAATATAGTGCATAACATGGGGTTAATCAACTATTAATATTATAGATGAGTCTACTGGTCAATGGGCTGGAGTGACAGCACAGTGGGTAGGGCGTTTGCCTTGCACACAGCCGACCCGGGTTCGATTCCTCAGCCCCTCTCGGGGAGCCCGGCAAGCTACCAAGAGTATCTTGCTGCCACAGCAAAGCCTCGCAAGCTCCCCATGGCGTATTCAATATGCCAAAAAGAGTAACAAGAAATCTCACAAGCAAATCAATGAACAACAGACTTGAGATGTCACTTGAGTGCTACAGTGACAGTGCTACTGGTCAGTAGAAAGGTATTTGTGGTTAAATTTAAAAGGACTCAGGAGTTAGGGACACCAATGCCCAGCACCAAGGTTTTCAACTCTTCCAGGATTCCCTGATACTTATATTGTTTGAAGGTTAGCAATATTTGTTAACAGACAATAGTTTTATAACTTGACTAACTTGATAGAGAAATATCTCTCAATTTATATGGGGGAATAAATTTATGTATTAAGATTATTTAGTATATATTTAAAACATTAATTAAATTAAAATATTTAAATACATTAAAATAAGCAATCAACTTCTCCCTCTCAGCCAGGATCAAAGATTGCTATATTTGAAATATTCTTTCTAACTTCAGTTAGTAAGGGCTTTCAGCTAAGTTCAGTCTTCCACTAGTGACTTCTGACATTGAATCAGGTTCATTTGTATTATTTTCAGGGTTTCTAATTTAGTAGTCCTTAGGTGGGCCTGAGATTTTGCATTCTTAAATTCTCAAGTGAGGCAGATGCTGCTTCTATGGGGATCATGCACTGACAACTGGGGCCCCCAATTCCCTTTATCCACACTTATGTTCCTGACACGTCTGTCTGATTGTCACTTTATGACTCTTTTCTGGATCCCTCTCCAAATTCATCAGTAAGATTGATTCAGTATTTAGCATACTATTTACCTTGCCCAGGGTGATCTTGGACATTATATCACTGAAGCGTCTTTAAGTTGGCATAGTGAGATAGCCTTTACTTTCTTGGTCAAATCACTGCTTCTTTTTATTTCAGAGAGATAAAATTATAGGACCCAAATAGTCAGATGAGGATTAAAGAGCCTTTCTTCTTGCTATTCCATACCAGGTGCAAGAGAAAATAATGTCATAAATAACCTCCCATTTGCTTCTCTGTTTGACCTTAACATGAGCATCTTTAACTCTAAAGTGGTTTGGGCCAAGCTGAGTACTTACTCGTTCCACAAAGGACACAGGAAGGTTATTCATATTTACAGCTGAGCTGCTGGAAACAAAACTGGTAGCCCCTCCCAAGAGTGAGCAGCTGCTCTGCCTTGCATATTAATTTCTTCGGGGCAGAAATTATGAGCCAACAGAACAGCTATTCACACCATTCTCACTGCATTGGTAAAAATCACAATTTTGTATCTGTCCCTTTCATTCCAACTGACTTCACTCAGCATGATATCCTCTAGTTCTATCCCCATGATTAAGTTGGAGGGTGTTGGTGAGAGGGAGCAGGACTGGGTTTCTTGGGGGGCGGGGAGAGATACAGGTACCCTGGTGATGAGTGTGGTGTTGGGATTGTGTCTGAAAGCATAAAGGGCTGGAGCGATAGCACAGCAGGTAGGGCGTTTGCCTTACAAGCAGCTAACATGGCCAACCCAAAGTTTGATTCCTCCGCCCCTCTCGGAGAGACTGGCAAGCTACCGAGAGTATATCGCCTGCCCCGTGATGTATTTGATATGCCAAACACAGTAACAAAGTCTCACATTGGAGGCATTACTGGGCCCGCTCGAAAAAATCGATGAACAACGGGAGCCAGTGACAATGTAAACTAAAAAGTACAAAAAAAAAAACCCAACATAATTAAGACAAAAAGACTTTAAGCAGGAGTTTTGTGGAGTGTACAAAATTTACTCTTCCTTGTAGAAAGTAAAGTAAGTAAAGTAAAGGCCCTCCCGTTGATCATCGATTTGCTCAAGCGGGCCCAGTAACGTCTCCATTGGAGACTTTGTTGTTCCTGTGTTTGGCATATCAAATACGTCACGGGGAGCTTGCCAGGCTCTGCCGTGCGGGCGAGATACTCTCTGTAGCTTGCCAGGCTCTCCGAGAGGGGCGGAGGAATCAAACTCGGGTCGGCCATGTTGGCTGCGTGCAAGGCAAATGCCCTACCGCTGTACTATCGCTCGTCTGCCCCCTTTGCTACCTATTCCTGAAAAAGCATTTAGAGTTAAAAGTAACTTTATAGTCATGCTGTCAATCGTGTTTTTATTCATGTTCCTCTGGAATTAATTACCAATATGTTTGAAAAGATTCCACGGTGCTTTCTTAGACCCCCATGCTGACTTGCCCTATCATCATGCTTTTTCATTTTCTTCTTTCCAATACACTTTCTGCACTTGCCATCAAGAGACCTCACATTCTCATACTACTTTATTTCCATGAAGTAAAAGAAGAACCTGAGATTTTAGATTATTATACCACAGTTGTCAGTGCAAGACAAACTTATAAAGTGATCTAGAAAACATTAAGATCTGAGTAGCAATGAACGATATTAGTGTTCTGATTTTAGGGTTGGTAATAAAACTTTCCTTCACCTAAAGAAACAAGGTGTGCTTGAAGAAATGACTTCTTTTAATACTTGAACAGGGAGTATTTGAGAACTCAATCTTCAAAACCTGTTGAACTAGAAAAATAAAAAGAGATGATGGGAGGAGAGCAGGTGTCCCTGAATCCACCCTAAAAAGAAAGACCAGCTTGAAGGGATACCGCATGAAACAAATGCACCAAGCTAAATTGGGGCCATTGATATCATCATTTGCTTTACAAGATGCACTAATAAGGGCAATGCATCATTTATGGCAACTCCCAACGCATACATTGAAAAAAAATCACAGCAAACTACCTAAAAACCCACCTTGTGAAATTTTTAATAATCCCTGTGCTCTTCAAAAATGTCAATCATCATCAACAAGGAATGTCTAAGGAAATATGCCAAATTAAAGGAATACTAGTAAATATAGCACAGCCAATGTTGAGTTGGATTCTGCATCAGGAAAAATGTTAGGTACTTGGTCCAGAGAGAGAGTTCAGTGGGCTAGAGTCTCAATCCCTGATGCTGTGTAGTCTCCTGAGCAACTCAGGAAGCAATGCCCAAACATAGAGTGCCCCCTCATCACCCACGCCACACCAAAAGTAAATAAAATATGCAAAAACTAATATGACTACTGACTAATCATATTTATGTGTTAGATTTCCGATTTTAAGATTATTCTGTAATTATGTAAGGGAGTCTCCTTATCCTTAGAAATACAAGCTAAAGTATTGAGATAGAAACAGGCAGACCAAAAAAATCAACAACAACAATGTATGAGTTAAGGTGCATGTTTACATTGTGTGTTTTTATGTGTGTGTGTGTATGTGTGTGTGGTTGCATTTAGAAAACATTGGTGAATCTACTGGATATGAGTTATTTGAAAATTATTTGTACTATTCTTTCAGCTTATGTTTTTAAGCTATTTCAAAATAAAAATATAAGAGCTAAGCTTACAGCAGTGAAATTGCTTTAGACTAAGGTCAATAATTACTTTGTAGATTGTTTTAGAAGAGTCAGCCAAAAATTCATGACCTCTGGTTTTTCTCCCTAAATATTTTACCTTTCAATTGTGTTTTTGAACTTCTTTAATGCTTTTTTTTATTGTTTGACTTATTCTAGAAACTGTGGTAAAAGCCATGAAATCAGAAACAGAAGTAAAATAAGAAGAAAAAAGTAACTGCAACTACTTACTTGCTATACACCTCAAAATCCACAACAAGTACTCCTATACAATTCATAATAAATGATGATTTGATGAGTGGTAAAGAAAATATACCAAATGTCTTTGCATAATCTACACAGAAATGTTGGTGTTTCTTATTGAATCTACTTATACATTAAATTTTGTTCCCAGTTGCCAAGTATCAGGCATCCTTGTATCCTAGAACAAAACCTCAGTTGTTGTAAATTACTTTATATATGTCTTTTTAGTGGTAGGTGCTTATTTTCTAATTTAGGATTTTCTCATCTATATTGCAAATAAAATGGCCCACATTTTTAATGAAAATATGTATGATTAGAAAAAGAGATTATTTCCTTTGTTATGTTAGAAATTAGTATTTTTTGATTTCAGAAAATAACTTTAGAAGACTTGATTATCCCCTAATTGTTTTTATAGAAGAAAATGCCCTTTTGTGAAACTTCCAAGATTTGATATATGCAACTATATGGCCTCAATATTTTCTTTTGAGTTCATTCTCTGATAACTTTTATGTGTTTTACATAAATATTTTCTAATTTTTCTTTAGTTTGTATATTTATTTTTGACAAATAAAAGCTGTACTGAAGGTGTACAATTTGATGTATTCTTATGACGTGATTACCACAGTCAGCTTCACTAATATACCTTCATACTCCATAATTAACATCCTATCTGTTTACTTACTGTGAAAACAGTTAAATCTATTAGCAATAATATCAAGCATATAATACTTTGTAATTAACTATAGCTACGATATAGTGTTGTGAACTGGATGTTCAGAAATTATTCATCCTCTAGCTAAAAGTTCGCTCCTTTGGTCAGTATCCTCCCATTTCTCTCATTCCCCAGCTTCTGGCAACTACATTAGACTCTTCATTTCTGTGAATTACATGGTTTTTCTTTTTTTTTTTCTTTTTTGACACTCGACATAGAAGTGAGATCATGTGATATCTGTCTCTCCAAGTTTGGTTTATTTCAATTAGCATGAAGTCTTCCTGGTTCATCTGTGTTGTCAAAAATGATAAGATTTTATTCTTTTCTTCTTCATTTAAATATACCACATTATCTTTATCCACTGATCTGCACAAGGCTGTTTTTTTTTTTTTTGTAAATCTTGACTACTATGAATAATGCTGCCATGAGCATGGAAGTATAACTCCCTCTTTGAAATCACAGTTTCATTTCCTTTGTATTGGCAACCAGAGGAAGATTACTGGAGAATACGGGAGTTCTATTTTTAATTTTTTGAGGAAACTCTATGCTGATTTCCATATTGGCGGTACCAGTTTGCATCAGTCGCAGTGCATACGTATTCTCTTTTTTCTATTTTTCTTCCCCTTGAATCAATTTTCATAGTAATTTGGTTTTTCTCTAAAAATTTTCAGCATGTATATAAACATGCGGCTGTCCTCGCTGAGGTCCCTTGGAGGGGAGCAGGTTGAGTTTCCCTCCCCGCCCCGACCAGGGCTCCGGCAGCCTCCAGAACCAGCCACCACCATGCTGAGACCACTCTCCACACACATGAAGGTACCAGCAGAGGAACAAAGACATGCGGGTCCCAGGGCTGAGATCTCCAAGCCTGCTTTGATCGGGGCTGAGCATCCTCCACCCAGATCCTCCAAATTCCAGTAGGCAGGGGTCACACCCACCAACTGGTCCCCCGGCGCCATGTAATCTCATCAGCGGCCAAGACTCAGAGACTATAAAACCCAGCTCCCGGAACCGCACGGCCGCAAATGCGGCCGCGCAACATTTTATTATGACATCTTATTATCTCATTCCTACTTTGGACAAACTGGCAGGCTACCGAATGGAACCTGCCCACATGGCAGAGTCTGGCAAACTCCCCATGACGTACCCAATATGCCAAATACCAGTAACAATGATGGGTCTCATTCTCCTAACTCTGAAAGAGCCTTGAATATGGCACTTTTTTAATAATCTCAGGGCTAGCACGAAGGAGACGTTACTGGGGCCTACTCGAGGCAATCGACGAATATAAACATGCAATATGTCAAGGTTTCTTTTCCTCTGTTGATAGTTCTAGTCTTCAAATATATATACAAGGAACTATTGAAGAGTGCACAATACATTGATTATCTCAAAAACAGAACCCACACACAGTAAAACAATGGTCATGTAGTTTCTGGGTGGTGTGGAACTTTTATGTCCAAATCAGGAAGGTTATGATTATGTTGGAAGACTAAAATTTTATTTATACCTGTTTCCTTGGGCAGTACTACTTTCTTCAGAAGGTAATGACAGTGTCAATTACCAGTTATAATTTATGAAAACTATTGTATGCTAGCAAAAAGTTCTCATCATTTATCCATGATGATGAAAAATTTATAACCCAAACAGTATATTAAAGAAAAGTAAAGAATTCTTAAAGGGACAAAGTTTGAGTTTGAACTAGAACCTGTAACAGTAACTCGAAATTTCCAGTTAACCAAAGTGAAACCCAAACAGTTCTTTTATCTTAATCTGTCCAAAACTGGCCAAGCTGACAGCTCAGTCCTATCAGTTGTTCCTTTTCTTGAATTACTTTCCAACATAAATGAGTTTATTCTTCTGTAGTTAAAATATTTACCTGTTTTTTTTTTAATCTGGAATTTCAGACTATTTTTGGAGGGGAGTACGAAGATATTTGATCGTTATAATCAATGACAGAGATCTCAAATCTCTATATGGTAACATTCAGGGAAATATACAAATGTCCCCTTTTCATTTTAAAATGTCTGTATGCAAACATAATAGAATACCCACAAATATGATTTCAGCTTGGACTCTGGAGAACTTAGACGTATATTTCATGTGAGATACACCTAACTTATATATTTTCTTATTTTTTTCCGGGAACATCAATATAATTTATAAAGAGAAGGGAAATGATAAATTGTTTCCCCTCTCTGCTTGATCTTACCCATTGCTAATCAATTCTCATTTTGAGAAATGTTTCCAGTTTAAGTTTATGAGAAACCTGGAGTGTAATACTAGTAGCACTGTAGCACTGTCCTCCCGTTCATCTATTTGCTCTAGTGGGCCCAGTAACGTTTTCATTATGAGACTTGTTGTTACTGTTTTTGACATATTAAATATACCACAGAGAACTTTCCTGGCTTTGCCCTGCGGGCGAGATACACTCAGTAACATGCAGGGCTCTCTGAGAGGGGTGGAAGAATCAAACCCAGGCCGGCTGCATGCAAGGCAAACACCCTACCGACATGCTATCGCTCTGCCCACAAAAGAGAAACAAATAGGCTATCACTAGATATCATAATAACTTTGCAAATTTTATTTTTATTGTGTTACATTTTGTTTTTTTTAATAAATAGAAGAGTGTATTATTATTTTGCTTTTTGAGTCAAACCCAGCAATGCACAGGGGTTACTTCTGACTATGCACTCAGGAATTACTCCTGGCAGTGCTTGGTGGACCAGATGGAATACTAGGGATCCAACCCGGGTCAGATGCATGCAAGGAAAACGCCCTACCTGCTGTATTATCACTCCAGCCCCTTGTGTGACATTTTGGCCCAAAGAACAAAAAAAAACAGAATTGGTTAATTCTGAACTTCTTTTTTTTTTTTTTTTTTTTTTTTTTGCTTTTTGGGTCACACCCGGCGATGCTTAGGGGTTACTCCTGGCTCATGCACTCAGGAATTACTCCTGGCGGTGCTCGGGGGACCATATGGGATGCTGGGAATCGAACCTGGGTCGGCCATGTTGGCTGCGTGCAAGGCAAACGCCCTACCTGCTGTGCTATCGCTCCAGCCCCAATTCTGAACTTCTTTAAAAATGTATTTTCAGGGTGTATGGTGCTGCCAACAGGTCAATCTGTACCTGTGAGGCGAGTGCATCAGCAGCCTGATGACGTCTTCAGACTTCCAGATACTCCAAAATTGCTGCTGTGCCTTTGGCCAGATCCCAAAAACCTGGGACAAAGTTTACCAAGAAAGTAAATGGCCAAAAGTTAGGTTAGTGGGAAAGACACCAACAAACCATGTCCAGCTCAGCTACATAATTGGAGGCATGGCCTCTCTGGTTCCTGATTGAACTGCTTAATGGCCATGATCCCAGAGACTCAGAAACAAATCTCGAAACCCAGTGGCTTTTGGCAGAAATGCGTCTGGTCCATGCAGTAGGTTATCGGTGCTGGGCCAACCCAGGTGGGAATAGGTTTCGTGCCTTGGTTTCGTGCCTGTTCCCCCTGGCTGTTCCCCCTGGCGACCCGGTGGCCGCCATCCTCCAGAGGCCACTGGACACTCAGGTTTGGGCCCGCAGTGACGAGACACGCAGGGCCTCACGAGATGGGAGTGGAGCCGATCCTGTCCTCCTCACCCCAAAGAGATCCCAAGTCATCGCCCATGAAAGGCCTCTCTGGCTCCTGATTAAGCTGCTTAACAGCCATGATCCCAGAGGCTCAGAAACAAATCTCAAAATCCAGTGGCTTTTGGCAGAAATGCATCTGGACCCCACAGTACGTTACTGTCTCCGGGCCACGCCAGGGGTGAAAGGGTGTTGTCACTCCGACTGCTCCCTCTTGGTGGCTTGGTCGCCGTCATCCTCCAGAGGCCATTGGATAGTCGGGTTTGGGCCCACAGTGACAAGACATTTTGGGCCTCATGGGATGGGGTTGAAGATGGTCCTGTTCTCCCCACCCCAATGAGGCTCCAAGTCATCGCCCATGAACAGCCTCTCTGGCTCCTGATCAAGCTGCTTAACAGCCATGATCCCAGAGACTCAGAAACAAATCTCGAAACCCAGCAGATTTTGGCAGAAATGTGTCCGGACCACACAGTAGGTTACTGTCGCTAGGTCACCCCAGGGGGGGAAAGGTGTTGTCCCTCCGCCTGCTTCCCCCTGGCAGCTCAGTCGCCGTCATCCTCCAGAGGCCATTGGATAGTCAGGTTTGGGCCCACAGTGATGAGACATTTTGGGCCTCATGGGATGGGGGTGAAGCCGGTCCTGTCCTTCCCACCTCAACGAGACTCCAAGTCATCGCCCTCAAACGACCTTTCTGGCTCCTGATCAAGCTGCTTAACGACCATGATCCCAGAGACTCAGGAGCAAATCTTGGAACCCAGCAGGTTTTGGCAGAAATCCCTCCAGATTTAAGCGTTTAAATTTTGGAATTTCAAAATTGGGTGGCCACTGCTGCAGCCACACGACATCATATGGTATTCATAAAGGTAAAGGTAAAGGCCCTCCCGTTGATCGTCGATTTGCTCGAGCGGGCCCAGTAACGTCTCCATTGGAGACTTTGTTGTTACTGTGTTTGGCATATCGAATACTCTCAGTAGCTTGCCAGGCTCTCCGAGAGGGGCAGAGGAATCGAACTCGGGTCGGCCATGTTGGCCGCTTGTAAGGCGAACGCCCTACCACTATGCTATGCTATCGCTCCAGCCCATGGTATTCATAACCAGCAATAAAAAACAAATTGTCTACTGTTGACTTTTCAGCAGATCTGAGGGTTGGGGGTAAAATCTCAAATAATAATGCTGGGTCTGGTGTCAAAATATTGAATGTGATCAAAGTAGAGAGAGACTAATGTGGAAATCATCTGCCCCACAGGTAGGGGGAGGGTGTGGGATGGGGGATACTGGGGTTGTTGGAGGTGAAGAATGGGCACTGGTGAAGGTATGGATGTTTCATTGTATGACCGAGACTTAGACCCGAAAACTTTGCAACTGCTCTCACAGTGATTCTATAAATTAAAGTATAAAAAATGAAAAAAAAATTAAGGTGAAGTTCGTGCACAATTCAATCAGCTAATCAGTGGCTGAATAAATAGCAGTACTCCTACATTTAAAAAAAGGTATTTTCAGATTATGTATAAAATTTAAAGAAATGTGCATCTGTAGCAAATTATTATTATCCTTTTGAAGGTTTGCATTATATTTGATACCTTTTAAAATATGTAGCTGTATCTATGTAGCTGCAAATCTGTAAACATATTTATCAAATGAATCATATTCCATCCCTAGAACACCTTTATCTGGTAGTTAGTAAGAACTTCATATCCACTTACCCTGGATGTGAAGTTCTTCTTACTGTTAGCTGATCCTTATGATAATCCCTGCTCTTCACATCACTCAGAAAATATTTTACTGTCTCTCTTACATAGGAAATTAATATTAAAATAGCTCTTTGAAACAGATGTAGGAGTGACCATAATTGAAACAGAAGTAGGAGTGGTCTTAAATTATTCAAGATCTTTATTACTAATGAATGCATGTCCGTGAACCTTTTTAAAAAATACGTTGCAGGCTCAAATGCCATGTTTTGCACGCGGTTGCTGGACACTCAAAGCAGGACACTAACTCTCTATGGGAATGCCATACTGGGAATTTTATTAGCTAATTTGTTCCTATTTCAAAACTGCTGAATAGTTTATACAGAATGTTTGATTAAACTGCTTCTCCAAGAAAACCAAGCAAGGTAAGGATTTGGTATGGAGCCGGATAGATTTTGCTTCCAGTTCTGCCCTGGAAAGTCTGGGAGGCTGGCCCATTTTTACAGGCACTTGGTGACTTCAGGAAGAGTCTGGGAGAGCATTTCTACACCAAAAAGAGTTACAGCCTGAAGTCCTTGATGTAGCTCTTCAAAACAAAATTTTCTTGATTATATTTGGGAGCATATGATTGTTGCTATTACTACGATAGTTTCAGCAATCAATGTTTGCTTGAATTTCTTTTAAAAATGGTATCTGTCACAGTAATTTTTGCCTTAATTTAATTATAGATTTTTAGACAGTTTTCAACTGCTCATCCATAAATGTCTTTTTGGGGGAGGAGGCAGGGAAGAGCACACCCTTGGTGCTCAGGGCTTACTTCTTGCTCTGCTCTTAAGAATCTCTCCTCCTGGCTTGAGGGACCACATGGGGTGCCAGGGATCAAACTTGGGCCCACTGCATGCAAAGCAAATGTCCTACCTGCCATACTATCTCTCTAGTACCTGTCTTTTTTGTTTTTATTCTTAGAATTGTGTAAGGTTTTCTTATAGCCCATTCTGTTTAATGGATAGATGTGTGTGTTTGTGTTTGTGTGTGTGTGTGTGTTTGTGTGTGGGTGTACAGAGATGGTGCAACTTTCACCAATTGTTGCTACATGAAGCGAGTAACTGATCAATCATTTAAAAATAAAATATTCACTGAAATGAATGTATGGAGAGAAGTAAGATGTTTTAATAGATAATATTTTCAGAAATTTGTTGTGCAGAATTACTTGACACGGTGATAAAAATTTAAGTATTAAGAACTGCAAGCTTTGTCCTTCAAAATTCAAGGAAATTCATTGTTAAGAATCCAATGTACCATTAAAATATAAATGCCTCAAGAGTTCTATGTAGTCAAGGTATTCATTTCAAGGGCAGTTCTCAGTTTCTAAGACCCAGCTCTAAATCAGAAGACTCTGCCCCATGTCCCTTTTTCATCCTTCACCAAACTTTTCATTGTCCCTGAAACACCCTTGTCCAACTGGAGAAATAATTTTTATTTAGTTGCGTTTTTGTCCCCCCCACTTCTTCTCTGACCCTTCCACTGTAAAACTTCTGCTTTAAAATATCGGTTCTTTCCAGTAACAAGGACTCTCTTGCCATCCAAGGAATTCCTGAAATGAACACTGATAAACAAGGTGAGTATTATTATAATGTTTTCTGAGCACAGTTTGTAAATAAAATAAAACAAAAATTAGGCACAGATGTATTTTCAGACCTACCAATGGCAAAATTATAGACATTTGGCAAATTTCTGGATGAAAAAGAAATTATTGGGAGATTAAAAAGACTTTACTTTCTGAACAGAAATTCACTGTGATTAAAAATATTTGGCCTTCTGATTTCAAAGTTACAAATATAATTTCCAATAAAAATTTGGTCTAAATAAATATACATATATATTTATTATATTAAATTTAAAATAAATATACATATATTTCGTCAATTGCCTCAAGCAGGACCCAGTAATGTCTCCTTCATCCTAGCCCTGAGATTATATTCAAGGCTCTTTAGGAGAATGAGACCCATCATTGTTACTGGTATTTGGCATATTAGGTACACCACAGGGAGTTTGCCAGACTCTGCCCTGTGGGCAGGCTACATTCAGTAGCCTGCCAGTTTGTCCAAAGTAGGAATGAGATAATAAGATGTCATAATAGGTTCTGGGAGCTGTTTTTTATAGTCTCTGAGTCTTGGCCATTGATGGGATTACACGGGGCCAGGGGGCCAGTTGGTGGGTGTGACCCCCGCCTACTGGAATTTGGAGGATCTGGGTGGAGGATGCTCAGCCCAAATCCGAGTAGGCTTGGAGATCTCGGCCCCGGAACCCGCGTGACTTTGTCCCTCTGCCAGTACTTCATGTGTGCGGAGAGTGGTCTCAGTATGGTGGTGGCTGGTCCTGGAGGTCTTTGGCTGCTGGAGCCCTGGTCGGGGCGGGGAGGAAAGCTCAACCTGCTCCCCTCCAAGGGGCCCCGGCGGCGAGGACAGTTAGGCGCGGGGGCAGGAGACTGCACTGTTCTTCTTCCGGGAGCTGGTTTTTATAGTCTCTGAGTCTTGGCTGTTGATGGGATTACACAGTGCCAGGGGGCCAGTTGGTGGGTGTGATCCCCGCCTACTGGAATTTGGAGGATCTGGGTGGAGGATGCTCGGCATATATATTTATATATATTAAATATATATTTATATCTATTAAATTTCAGCAGTAAGTTCACAGTACTATGCGAACTCAAATTTGGGAGAAAAAGTCTCACAGCTGTCACTCTATGAATATTTGATAAATGGTTATGGGGAAATAAATTCCCCTTTCTTCCAAAGGAGTTCATGGTATGGGTCCGTGACATTTTTGTTCCTGTGTCTATTTACAGTCTTATTCCTTCTTTTAAATTCAGAAGGTTAACTTTGCCTGTTTGGTATACAAACCAGGAACATCTCAAGTAACATCTCAAGTTGTTTATATAGAGGACATTATACATAACTTAAATTATGCTTATACCTCAAATTTGGACCCTTATATTAACATAAAACAGTAAACTATTCATTTAAGGTTCAATTTTCTCTCCTGAAAGCAGTATTTCTCTAATGCAATGCAATGTGCATCAGATTCACCCTGAAGCTCTGGTCACATTGTTGAGTTCCTCTTCAAGAGCTTGTGACTCCATAATTTGGGGTTAAGTCTGAGAACAAGGATTTCTAACATGTTCCTAAGAAATGCTAATGCAGCTCACTGGAGATAACACTTTAAGGAGCAATAACCTAAAAAATACTATTTCTGGATCATTAAACTAGGTGTTGCAGCACTGTAGCACTGTCCTCCCGTTGTTCATAGATTTGCTCGAGAGGGCACCAGTAACGTCTCCATTGTGAGACTTGTTACTGTTTTTGGCATACTGAATATGCCACAAGGAGCTTGCCAGGCTCTGCCATGTGTGCAGGATACTCTCGGTAGCTTGCAGGGCTCTCCAAGAGGGATGGAGGAATTGAACCCGGGTCGGCCATGTGTAAGGCCAACACCCTACCTGCTGTGCTATTCCTCCACTCAAACTAGGTGATAATGTAGTTAAACAGTTTTACATTTATCATAGTATCTATGATAATACATTTAAGTCAATTGCTGTGACTAAGCAAGCATAAAAGTTATTTGAAGCAAAAGATATTTTCCAAATAATTTCCATGAACAAGATCATATGGAGATTGTGTTACTTCTTTAAAATAGATATTAATAGATCTTACTAGATTACTTTGTTCATAGCTTTGGGCCTGATACATCTGAAAGTAATTTTTTCCTTTCATGCATTTTCTCTCTTAAGGAGAAAAAGATTTTTTTTAAGAAAGGGGAAAAAAAGAGTAGCCTTGAGGAAGCAGAGCTGGTGATGAATCACCTGGGATACTCATTCACTTTCTATGTTGTACTATATCACAGCTTGCCATGTTATGCTGCATAACTTCATCAGATGACACTGCAAAACATAATTTGACAGGAGTGTGATGGGCCAGATGGTAGAGTAGCTACAGAATCATTCTTCCACCAAGAATAGCATCTGGGAACCTGCAGAGTCCTGAGTTTGCTGATTCTCTGCATTCATTTGGTGCATCTGAGAGGAACCAGGGCACAAAAGCTGGCCAATCTCCAAAATGAAAAAAAAAAAGGCTGGGCATTGGAGTTTTGCAAATTCTATCTATACTATTTCAATTAGTCTTAATTTGTTTTCCTTTTCCAGACACAGACCCTCTAGAGGTGTGATTTTTCCTATACTGAAACATTGAACTCATTTCTGAAAAATATATTTAAAGAAAGATTTATAGCACAGTTTAGAATCTTTGATGGTTGTACTTGTTCAAAAATATAGTATGACTTGGGGAGAACTCAAACTTACTTGTTAAATAACATGTTTAGGTACAGTCCACATTCACCTGATGTAGGTATCTTCAACTCTTTACATGTGGATCATTGAATCAGTATCTGTTCATACAGGGAGACACTGTGATGCTATAACTCCTTGAGGATGTGTCAGACTTGATTTAATACCATATAAACCTATAGTGGTTTGCTGCCTCCCACTAAATAACAGCCACAACTTTACCCTAACATTCAAGGAAAGAGATAATTTATTTTTCCAAATAAAATCAAGTCATTGTAGTACAGTATGAAGTTTAATTAAGTTTGAGAAAGATCCATTCCATAAAGGCAGAAAACTAAGTCTTTACTTCAACATTTTCATCAGAATTACCATTATAGCTACATTTTGCCTTTGGCTTTGGGATTGGCTTGAAGGTATGGCACTCCTTGTCAAAACTGAACACAACAATCTTTGACATGATGAAACCATTATCTAAAAACAATGACTGCTAAGGCTAACCTGGAGACATCCCCAAGTCCTACCTTCAAACATTTCCCTAACTTCCTGTCCAGGTATCAGTTTCTCTCTCTCTCTCTCTCTCTCTCTCTCTCTCTCTCTAAGAAGAAGATAGAATTGTGACTAGGACAGCACTAAAATCAAGACTGATTTTCAATGGCAAAGGAAAACACAGAATAAGTTATGGCAAAGGAGTTAAAGAGTAAGATTCAGGATGTGATGTACTCAAGTGGAATTTTAAAATAATACACAGTTATTTTAAAACTATAAGTTGTATGAATTTATAAAAACAAACTATTAAATTTAAATTAGATCAATTTGATATGTGGTGAAATCCATCTCAGAAGGAGCCTGTCCCCTGCCCATTCAGATTCCCACTACCCTTTCCTCTCATGTGAGCCAGGCATTCATCTGTGTCTGAAAGAACAACTCCGCCTTGCTCTTAGTCTGTGAATTCTCCCAGTCTTAATTCCATTTTGCCAATTTTGATGGGCAGCATTAGTTCTTTATCAGGCCTTTCATGCTGACCTAATAGGGGTTGATTTCCCAGGGTTCCCTTAAACACAAAGAAGCTATTAAATCTGTAGTAAAAACAGCTTAGGTTCTTAGAACTCAGATACACACAGGAATGGACCCAAAATTGGCCTTTTTATTCTTTATACTCTCCCACTGCTTCAAGAAAAGAACAAACTTATTATTGCCATAAATTACCCTGTCATGTGTTTGAACAATGACATGTAATCAATAGAAAGGGGCCGGGGTTGGCCCCTGCTTAGCAAATGCTAATGAGATGGAGACACTTAAGTGGAGTGTTAAAAGCTAGAGAGATAGTACAGCCTGTATGGCATTTGTCTTGCATGCAGCCAACCCTGGTATGGTACCCAGAATTCTATATGGTCCCTCAAGCACACGGTTGGGTGTGACCCCAAAACAAAAAATAAAACAAAAAGAATGAGAATGAGAAGGATGAGGATTTTTCTTGGTTAGTCATACCTATTCTTCGTTAGTAATACCAATTTTTCTCATAGTCCAAACTCAGTCACTGTCACTGTCACTGTCCTCCTCTTGTTCATTGGTTTTTTCAAGTGGGCCCAGTAACATCTCCATTGTGATGCTCCCTTCGATAGCTCAGCTGGTAGAGCGGAGGACTGTGGTTGTATATTGACGGTCATCCAAACTCAGTATTTAATTTATTTTCTATCAATTATAGTAATATTTTCAATAAACAAATGTTGGTATTATTCACCAAAATACTTTTGGAAGTATTCTGAGTATTTTTCAATTTTAGGAATAGTTTTTAACAAAAATTCGCTTGCCCCTTGAAAATCAAAGGAATATTTCTTGCAAAACCATCTCAATTTGGGGCTGGAGCCATAGCACAGCAGGTAGGGCATTTCCCTTGCACGCGGCCAACCTGGCTTCCATTCCCAGCATCCCACATAGTCCCCGAGCACCGCCAGGAGTAATTCCTGAGTGAAGAGCCAGGAGTAACCCCTGTGCATCGCTGGGTGTGACCCAAAAAGCAAAATAAATAAATAAATAACAAAGTAAATTTTAAAAATCTCAACTTATGGTGGGGGTCTTGTTTATTTGGGGTCTACTCCAAGTTGTGCTCAGGGCTTACTCCTAGCTCTGCACAATTTTGGGGGATCATAAGGAATGCTGGGGAGTGCATTACCAGCTATACTATCACTGCACTCCCAATGGTGGCTTATTTTTTAGGACTTTTTCCTTTCTATTAAGTCCCCTGCAATATGTTTTTATTTTCTATTTTATTTGTTTCCAAATTTGTTGGCATAAAATTGTACACATATTTCCCATTTTTAAAATGATTTTCTCTATTAATAAATTCAAATCCTCTCTCTTTTGTTTTATGTAATTTTCTTCTTCTTTTAGGCTTGACAAGTGTCCAATTTTTTTCCTTCCAAAAATACAGATCTTCATCTTGTTTTCTAAGACTACTGCTATTCCAGTTTTATAGTCTAACTAATCAATTTCAGCCATTTCATTTTTTCATTTCATTTCATCATCCTGTTATTCGTCGATTGCCTCGAGCAGGCCCCAGTAACGTCTCTTTCATCCTAGCCCTGAGATTATATTCAAGGCTCTTTAGGAGAATGAGACCCATCATTGTTACTGGTATTTGGCATATTTGGTACGCCACGGGGAGTTTGCCAGACTCTGCCCTGTGGGCAGGCTACATTCAATAGCCTGCAAGTTTGTCCAAAGTAGGAATGAGACAATAAGATGTCATAAAAAAAAAAAAGTCCTGATAAGATGTCGCGCGGCCGCAAATGCGGCCGCGCGGTTCCGGGATCTGGATTTTATAGTCTCTGATCTTGGCCGCTGATGGGATTACACAGCGCCAGGGGGCCAGGTGGTGGGTGTGACCCCCGCCTACTGGAATTTGGAGGATCTGGGTGGAAGATACTCGACTCCAATCCGAGTAGGCTTGGAGGTCTTGGCCCCGGAACCCGCGTGGCTTTGTCCCTCTGCCAGTACCTTCATGTGTGCGGAGAGTGGACTCAGCATGGTGGTGGCTGGTCCTGGAGGTCTTCGGCTGCCGGAACCCTGGTCGGGGTGGGGAGGAAAGCTCAACCTGCTCCCCTCCAAGGGGCCCCGGGAAGGAACACCCAGGCGCGGGGGCAGAAGACTGCACTTTCAGCAATAATATTCAGTAATTTTTTCCCTCATTTGTTAGCTCTACAATCATTAAATTTTTGTTTTATTTTTGACCACATAATCTTTATTTTCAATTTAAAATAAATTTAAAACATCTTTCACAATTGTAAATAATTTGTCCATTTTTAATTATTTCTAGTTTTACTGTTAGGGAATTAGGTAAGGGAATTAGGTAATTTTTCTACTTTTTTGGAAATTCTGTGTCTGAAAGATGATCAATATTACCATCTGGACCTGAATCATAGAAATAAATTTTTGCTTCTATTCTCATGTACAGTCCATCCTTTATGACCACTGGAGCGAGCTTTATAGGGCATGTATTGATCCCTGATTCTTGGAAGAGAATGAAAGCTCCTCCAGGAACTCACACTAACTGACCCCTGTTCTCTCTCCTATAACTCTGTCTTATACCTTCTAGCCACCCTGATTTCTTGATCCTGAGCCTTGTACCTTCACACATGCTCTTTCCTAGACCTGTGACACCATTCCCCCAAACAGTTCATCCCTCTTAACACTCTGAAACTGCATTGCCTTTAAGAACTAGTTCTCACTTCACCTCACTGTGAAATTGTCTGTCTGTATCTTCTGTGTTTATCCCTGCTATATAATATACATCTGTGGTACTTTTCTCTCCCTTATCAATGAGAACTTGTGATTTACCTTAATGTCTAGAACTCATAATGACTAGGATCTAAAGAACCCTCAGATCTTGGGTTGATGTGTGTGACGATTGTGTGACAATTTAACAAATATATCTAAAAATATAGATCACTATTTTATGACTTAACTGCAAACCTCCTAAGGCTAGGTTTGGATTATAGTAGATACTATAGATAAATTTATTAAGTTCTTAATATCAAAAAATTTTAGTCTATAAATGCTCTGGGGTTAATGGCATTCTTCCAGATTTTGTTTTCTCTAAATATAAAGACTGATCATTTTCATCTAGGCAGCAAGAAGCTCCATGGTAACATAGTTACACATCTTTTAAAATAAATGGAAATAAAACTTTAGATTATCTGTGAAGCAAATTTAAATTGTGTATCCTCAGTGAAAGAAAGAGAAAATTTCTCACTTTTATTTTTACTGAAATCTTGCAAATGATCTACAAGGAATGTATAGTAATCCATCTTAAATGAATAATAGGTTGAAGATTTTAAAAATTAAACTAATTTCCTTAAAGAAAAAGAGATGGAATAAGGTTAAATACCTCCAAAGCCTTCTTTCCTTCATGTTGGAAATAGGCACATTCACACTGGGTCCCAGTAAGTGTTCTCCAATGGAGTAATTATTGTAGTGAAATCAGTGGTGGTAAAGGAGGAATATTCAAAATTATTTTATGATTTATGAAAATTACAAACTATGGAAATAGATCGATATATAAAGAAGACAAAATAATTGTAAACACTGAACTTGAGCCCTCAGAAATATTAACTGCTAATCATTTTGTAAATGTCACAGAACAAGAATTTTTTTCTATTTTGTTACCTGCTATATTTCACAGTCTTGGGATCATCTTAGGGTCACATATACAGAAAGCACACAATAAAAATGTGCTAAGTAAATAGATAATTTTGAGTCATTTGTATATATGTGTATGTGAATACATATGTACATATGGCTGCATGTATTAACAAAATGGTATATATTCTGCATACAATGTTGTATCCTATTTGTCATAAAATCTCATTTTTTTTTGGTGGGGGCTATACCCAGCAATGCTCAGGGCTTACTCTGACTCTAGGCTGAGAAATCACTCCTGGCTCTGTTTGTTGGATCGTCAGTGGTACCAAGAATCTAACTGGGTCAGTCGTATGCAAGGCAAACACTTAGCCCCTTTTCTACTACTTTTGCCCTACAATAATCTTTAAAAATAAACTAATTCCTGAAGGGATATCTTAGTTTGGGGCACACAAACTTAAGGGCAAGTTCTACACTAAGATACAGTAGATTTTCGAGTAGGAAAGAGTCTTTAATTTGGATTTCCTCCCATTTAACATAAAGCAGGGCTTCATAACCTCACGGATTCTCTTCCAAGATATTGGATTTATCTAACAAGATGGCCTTCATAATATTTTGTGTTTTCTTTACAGATGCTCGCAACAGTATTGAGAATTCCATTTATAAAACAGCCTTCAAGCTGCATTCGGTGCAAACTCTGTGCCAATGTAAGTACAGCTCTCTTGAAACACTTAAGGTAATATGATCCTAAGGTTGACATAAAATGGATGGGAAATTTGTAGAGAATAACTCCCCCACGTAAGTGACTGCCCGACTCTGGCGGACTGGACCTTGTGTGCTTGCTCCTTGCTTTCCTAACAGAGAGGAGAACACAGCCCATGTTTTCTATCCACATGGAAAGTGATTTGTGGATGAGGATTGTTTTTTTTTCTATTTGGTTCTTACTTTTTAAAATATTTTTCCTATTTTAAATCCTAATATTCTCACACAATGAACTTGAAAAAAATAGTTTACAATTTATGCTTGTAGATTTAAGTGTTGCAGTGTATATAAAATTTCTCTTGAAGGTTGAAATTTGTTTCTACTTTTTTGTTGTTGTTTTTTGCCTAATAAGGTTTATTGACTAGTGGTTTCCAAATTGTGCTTCGTAAAGTGTCTGAGTGTGAAGAAGGGAAGGAGAAAAAGCAAGTTGGGAAAAAAAGTATATAGGTTACCTGGGAAAGTTCAAAAGATCATCTCTATTTGAAAGGCTCCATATCTCCATTTTCCACATTACCTTTCTATAAAAGTCTCCCCTGAATAAAGAATTCTTGGCTTTTAAAGAAAAAATGGTATTGCATTTTTAAAATCAGTGATGTAGTCAAATTAACTCACTGGAAGCTATTATTCCAAAAATCAACAAACTGCAGGATATTCTTACTAACTGCTTACTTATATTCAGTGGGTAGGAGAGATAGCTAGGTAAGAGGGTAGGAGGGGTTAGTATACATTTGCATGCTATAGGCCTGGTCTCGATCCCTAGCATCACCTAGGTCTCCTGAGCACAGAGCCAGGAGTAGCCTCTGAGCATACCAAGTATGGCGCAAAATACAAACAAAAATTTGCTTATACTCTGTCATGAAATATTCTTGGAAAATGTTCTCACCTTAAAGGAAATGATAATCAATTTTACATAGGACTCCTTCATCAATGCCTGGGTGTATCAAAGCATAATTCGAGGGTGCCGCTTTTTAAACATTTTATCATGCCCAATGTTAGAAATGAATAGGAATAGTACTCCTGAGAAATGATAACAATATACAAAACCAGAAGTTGAAAGTATAGACATAATTGATAACCAACAACAAAAAAAAGAAACTCTCATAGCACAGCAATGGAGCAGAAGGGAACTCCAGGCTGCAGCATGCGGGGAGCTCAGCTAGAGAAATCTTGTAGGGAGATTAATGGACACCAAGCTTATCTGTTCTGCTGTGATTCAGTCTCTCCGCAGAAGACAAGAAGACAAGAATGTCCTAGGTACAGCTTGCCAGACTGAGGTGATAGGTTTTGTGATTGAATCACGATAAAGGAGTTGGAGACCTCCCCACCTGCAGTCAGGATTTTATTAAAGTCACATTTTGAAGCCGACTTCTCACTTCCTTAGATTTTTCCCCCTGAAAAGCAGTATCAGAGAGCAAATAAAAATTTTTTATTACATTTGCTAGATTTCTTATCTGTGGGGTTGATTTATGAAGTCAAGAAGAAAAGCTCAGGGTTTTATCATCTCGCCGGCTGGCGCTCTTTGAAATGCAGCCTCTCTTGGTGCCACTGATATCCCCACCTCTCAGGTGGTATAACTGGGCATTTATTAATTTTGTCTGTCACCTTCTTTCTTCAGAAAATCATAGGTTGGTTCTATTTCATTTTTCCTCATGCCCATTGCCTTGTAGAATGTTTGAGGTAAAAATATAAAAGAAAACCACTACTTTCTGCAAACAACTTGGCTTTTAGAGGGTAGAGACCTCTCAAGTGGTGTTTAGGGACCTTGGGAGGCACTGTCAGTGAAACTTGGCCAACAGGGCTGCAGGTTCCCTGTGAGTGTCAATAGGAATAGAGTTGTCTTAGCTAGTGGAGTTCTGGGGGCTTTGGGGGCTACTGCCAGCAGCGCTGGGGACATCACAAGATGTTGGCATTTAAACACAGTCCTGAGAAATTATTTGCTTGTATTTCTGACCACTGGGACATAATTTGGCCTTAATTTGGCCTTTTATAAAGTGCCTTACCTAGATGTAACACTGGCATACCAAGACCATACAGATATGCTTTATGTACTTACAGCGGTAGGGCGTTTGCCTTGCACGCAGCCAACATGGCCGACCCGAGTTCGATTCCTCCGCCCCTCTCGGAGAGCCCGGCAAGCTACTGAGAGTATTCGATATGCCAAACACAGTAACAACAAAGTCTCCAATGGAGACGTTACTGGGCCCGCTCGAGCAAATCGATGATCAATGGGAGGGCCTTTACCTTTACCTTACTTAGGTGAGGGAGGGAGTTCAAGTCTGATAGTTTAGCAACTGCTTTTTGTTTCGTTTGAGGTGTTTCTTTTTTGTCTGTTTATTTGCTTGCTTTTTTTTTATGGTGTGACTAAATATACTTTTATTTTTTTATTTTTATTTTTTAATTTTTAAAAAATTTTTATTAGTGAGACACCATGAGGTACAGTTGTAGACTTACAGATTTTTGTGCTTGGGTTTCAATTGTACAATGATCAAATACCCATCCCTCCACCAGTGCCCATTTCCCACCACCACGGATCCCAGTATCCCTCCCACCCCCTCGCTTTTTTTTTCTTTTTTTTTTTTTCTTTTTGGCTCTACAGTCAGGAATTACTCCTGGTGGTGCTCGGGGGACCCTATGGGAAGCTGGGAATCAAACCCAGGTTGGCCATGTGCAAGGCCACTGTACTATCACTCCAGCCCACCCACAACTGCTTTTTAAAGTAACTATCACCAATTTTGGGCCATAGGGGTCAGGGGCAAAAGTATGAAATCCCTATTTTATCTCTGGCACTGCATGGCCCCCAAGCACTGCTGGGGTGGCCCTAGTGGATCCCTGAACCTCAGAATTGTGAATCTGGTTGGCAGTGACTCCCCAGAACCCCTCAGTACTGCTATGGGGGACTTGTAAAAATAATAAAATATTTTTATTTTAAAAATAAAAAATATTTTTATCCAAAATCTTTTCCTGACGACTGCAAATACTGTTTGAAATGAAAGATACATTTCCTGTTAATCCACTTAATAACGAGTATAAAAATGTTTGCATCCAACTTTTATCACATGTCCTAACTTCTTTGGAAGGCTTTTTTTCCGAGCTTCTCTCTTCTTTCAAACCTTTCTACTTCATTCTATAAAGCAACATTCTGGAGTTTATGCTGGAAGCATGGTGCAGCTCTGTTTTACTTACTTATCACTTGGCAAAATGGTTTTACCTGAGTTATACAACAGAGGTGACACAAAGTCCAAATATGCTCAGATCCAATTCCCTTTTGAGAAAATAGCTGCCATGAAATAGTCATAATTAAACTCAAGGTCACATCTGCTCGCTTTGAAGCTTTTTGTCCCCATCAGAAAATAAGGCATGGCTCTTCATTTGCTCACCACAGTGGACTTAATCAACAGTTCTCTGATCCAGCAAGTCCTGCTCTACCAAGGTCTCGGGGAGATGAGAGAGAAGTGCTTGTCTACACCACAGCTTTTCCAGGCCCTCCAGGACTTGTTTCAGAGACTCGAGGTGAAAAGACCAGGATGGGTGTCTCCCAGGGCTTCAGAACTCACTCTGAGCCTTCTCACAGCAATGTATGACAGGTGAGGGCGTGACAGCATGCTGGCTAAGGGAAGTGTTGGCATTTTGATATTGTACTGCATGTGCTTCTCTAGGGCTGTTGCTTAAAAAAGCTCTCTCCTTTTCCCACCAATGTGCTGTTCATCCCAGAGGGGAGCGAAAGTGGGGTTGGTTAGTTGCTTTACATTCTAATGACTCTCCCCCAAAACCAAAAAGAAAAAAAAGGTGACTGAAAATTCAAATCACTCTTCTCTCTTATAAACCTGTTTGTACTCTAGAAAACCATGTGCATCTTTGATATGAGTGTTTATATACCTATTGATAGGAGAGGAGGAGACATTATTCTCTTGAGTTCTTGGTGTTTTCTTTGCTTATTTCTCTGCAACTGATTATTTTTATTTTGTTGTGTTTATTTTTTGTAGGTGGAATAAGTGTGAGTGATCCCATGCATGAGCACCTCACCTCTTGCCTTAGTACATCTTGATTGATAAAACAAAATACCACCAAGTGGGTAGTTTCACAGCAGATTTCTCATGGTTTAGAGACCAAGAAGCCCAAGGTCAAAGAACGGGCAAAGTTGGTGCCTGGTGAGGTTCTACTTCTCCACATTTTAGAGGACCTTCTTTTGCTGTGGCAGGGATGCAGGCACTCTCTGTAGTCTCTTTTATAAAGCACCGATCCAATTCCTAATGACCTCACCCTGAGAACATGATTATTTACCAAATCTCCACTCCAAATTCCCACACATTTGGGGTTAAGATTTCAACCTATGTCCTTTGAGGGAACATAAACATTCAGTATACCAGTAAGTCAGTTTAGAACACGTCAAAGACTTGATTATGCTTGTTCTCAAGTCATTGTTGTGAGTTTCATTCATCTCTGGTATTTACCATTCCTCTCCCTATGCAGTCTTCACCCTATAATAACTTTACAAGCAACTTTTTGAAAAGTCATAGTAAAGGGGCAGAAGAGATAGTGCAAGGATTACAACACTTTCTGACCTTGGTTTGATCACCAGAACAGCATCATTCTCCCAGCACTGCCTGGAGCAACTCCCGAGCTCAGAGTAGAAAATGAATACTGCTGGGTATTGTCCAAGTTTCACTCCTACTAATCACTGTATCATCATCATCCTGTTGTTCATCGATTTACTCCAGTGGGCGCCAGAAACGTCTCTATTTGTCCCAGCCCTGAGATTTTAGCAGCCTCTCCTTACTCGTCTTTCCCAACAATTGGAGGCTCTTTCAGAGTCAGGGAAATGAGACCTGTTATAGTTACTGGTTTTGACATATCAAATCGCCACAGGGAGCTTGTCAGTCTCTGCCCATACAGGTGGGATACTCTCAGTAGCTTTAGCTTGCTGAGTTCTCCAAGATATATATATATATATACATACATATGATATATATGTATATATATTTCTCTCTATGATTTGTTGTCTACTGTCTATACCCCATCAAACATGGTGTGGTGATTATGGAAATGGGTAGGAAGTGTTTTATGATGTGTCCAGAAAGTGGCCTGGAGCATAGCAGCAGTTGGGTAGTGGAGGTCTACTGCCAGGGCTTGGTCCCTTGGGGTGGGGAGGGCTCTCATCCGCCCCCCCTCTGGGGCGCCCCAAGTGAAAACAGCCTGATGTGGAGTCCCTCCTCATAGTAAATAGAAATAAACATCATGGTAAATATAAAGTATTTGGGTAGTGTAAAAACAAATTAAAGGAAAGAAAAAAGAAGCAACAGACCAGCAGGAGCCCTTGGTTGATTGAGTGATAGAGTACTTTCTGTGTAAGCCTAGGCAGGTGAGACCTCCAGCTTGATCCCTAGCACCATCCCAGGTGCCTGCAGCTTTGCTATTTGGGATCCCCAGCACCACATCGAAAAGTGTGTGATCTCTGGCATATCACAGCCAAGTATACGTGATTCCCAGTCATTACAGAAGCAACAGCAGCAGAAAACGAACAGAAAGGGTGGTAAAAATATGACCCTAAATCCTGCTTCCCAGAGCTAAGCACTATTTAACTATCTAACCATCTGGCAGATTCCTAACAGTATTTTCTAATTTATTTTTTATTTTTATAAATTCACAAATATTACACAAACACGTCCTCAATAATATTTCCATGATTTCAGCTTCCTCAAACAAAAATCTTGTAACATTCTTTCTCAAATTAGTGTTTGCTCTAACAATCCTCCTGCCTTTTATAGTGTTTTTTTTTTTAGGTTTAAAATCAGCACAACTAGTGAACAAATGATAAATAAGCTCTGAATGAGAGCTGGAGAACTGTTTATCCATACCACCCTGAACGCGCCCGATCTCGTCTGATCCATAACATATTTATTTTTAAATTTGTTTGCTTGTTCCTATAGTGTGTATGTGTGTGTGTGTGTGTGTGTGTGTGTGTGTGTGTGTGTGTGTGTGTATGCACGTACATGGGCTTTCGGGACAAAATCCAGGACCTCAGGCATCAAGGCAGGCACTCTTGTTCAACTCCATCTTGGCTCTTGCCTGTCTCTTTATCCTTGTCTCAGACACTGGGTTTCCAGGCACAGGAGTTGTAAGAAAATGATGCTTATAACCCCCATGCCTAGCCCAGTGGAGGTATCCATAAATGTAACACTTAAAATAATCATATGAACAAATGATAACAGTTGAATGCAATTCCTAATACTATGCAATTCCAGATACATAAAATCAAGCCATGAACAGCTGAAGCTTGTAACAGCATGTCATAAACACCCAGTGGTAGTTTGGACTCTTAGAAACAACCTCTCCCAAGAATAACCTTACCTTTCCTGTTCTTGTCTCTGTTTTTTTTTTTTTTTGTCAAGCAGCACAGGAACGGGTTTTGTCAAGCTTATCCCTACCATCGCTGCCCTGATTGCCCTCTCAGGGGACAGCCCGCTCACAAAATACAGAGGTAACATTTGTCCTCAAGTGAAGTCAGTATAACTCTAATTGCTTCTCTCGTGTATTTCTGACACAGGGCATCTGCATATACTCAGCATGACCTGGATTTTTAAAGACAGAGATCTCTGCCATATCTCCACAATCCCTTAAATCCTGAAAGGGTCAATATGAGGAAAGTTTCTGTCTGAATCAACTCCTGAGTTTACTCATGTTGACTCTTTTATAGCTTACAATATTTATTATCAATATGCTGAATCTACCCCTTATGGTACATTTAAATGGCTTTTCACACTTATCAAATTATCTGGTTTAAGAAATCCCCAAATTTACAAGAAGATAATTAAGACATATTCTCCCTTCTTTTTCTTTTTATACCCATAAGTTTCCTGTTCAGAATTTGAAGTACATCATCTTCAAAGATACGTCACAAGTATTCTGTTTAAAGATTTCTCTCCCACCCTTTTATATGCCTAGCTCTTTTTCAACTCTATACAGAAAATAACAGAGGCGGTAAGGACTCTGGCAACCGCATGACTCGAAGGGTTTTGAGGAACCTGCTAACAGATCTACAACAGGTAAATATCTAAAACTTAAGGATTTTTAATTTGTTATATTGTTCTTTGTGAGACCTTCTCAATAGCCACTGATAATAATACCTGAGTTTAATCCTGATCTGTAGCACTTGTTTCCTAATTGGTTTCCTCAGTGCAAGCGTCTCTTATCTCCAATTCTTTCACAACACTCCATCCAGTGAGTTTCCAATATGTAGCTGTTACTCTCATGCCTGGGCTGGAGTGATAGCACAGTGGGTAGGGCATTTGCTTTGCACACAGCCGGCGCGGCCGACCCAGGTTTGATTCCTCCGTCCCTCTCAGAGAGCCCGGCAAGCTAACGAGAGTATCTCACCCACACGGCAAAGCCTGGCAAGCTACTCTTGATGTATTTGATATGCCAAACACAATAACAAGTCTCACAATGGAGACATTACTGGACCCGCTCAAGCAAATCAATGAACAACGGGAGGACAGTGCTACAGTGCTTACCCCCACGCCTAAAATTCTTCACTGTCTATTTCTGTTGAATAAAACTTTACCTCCTTAGTGTCATGAGCAAAACGTTCATGACCTGATCATTTTCAAAAAGACAAAATCATGGTTGTCATACAAATATAAACTGAACATATGCGCACAAATTTATTTAACTCATTGGTTAAAGGTTCTAGTAAGATGTCACAATGTCATCTCCCTCACCCCCATGGTCCTAAGGAAGTTGTTTGGAAGGAAGAGGTTTGCATAGAAAATCATGCCGCAGCCTGTGGTAAGAACTCAAGAGATAGATTCCATAAAAATTCCAGGCCTCACTGGGTGGTATGAACCCCTCCTCAAAGTACCTAATTATAATTTCCATTCTGCCTTGCCAGCATGCCATCCAGCCACTTTTCATTCTTCCATAGAACACCTGCCAAAAATTAGTCAAATGGACAATCCACAAAATTTCGGTGCACACACTTAATGTAACTGTTACCCCCATGCCTGAAATTCTTCACTGCCTATTCATTTCTATTGAATAAAACTTTACCTCCTTAAGGTCAAAAATGGAGGCTAAAACCACTCTATTTTCCCCAGCCGGTGTCAGCACCATAAAACTGGATCCCATAGATTCACTTGCCTTATTTTACAATGAAGTTAATCCCCTTTCCTAGGACTCCAGGGTACCAAATAAGTGTATGATCTCCTTTCTTCATCAGCATTTGCAGAATAAAGCTTAGAACTGAATTATCTTTTTTTTTTTTCAGACAAAGACTAAATAACACAGGGCACAGGGCATAGTTACTTACATTCAGCTGGTGATGGGGTTATTATCAATGTAAAGTACAAGCCATCCATGATTAAGCAAATGTTTGTTGACTTCTGCCTGGCTAATTGTCGGCAAAGTGGTTCTAAGTGCCACTTTCCTGATTAGAAGAATGTTTATTCGAGTTGATGGACTCAGCAGGGGTCTTTGAAATTACTTTTGAGCTTGCAGGCAATGCCTACTGACAGCCTGTGCTGTATATGACATCAGCCTTGAAATTAGTACCCATGACCAAATGGGCATAAATGGACGTGACAGGTACATATTTCTATGCATATAGATAATGTCAGAGCTGGACTTATAGTCATCTTGACAGCTACAAGGGGTCTTAGTCCCTTAGTTATACTCCATATGGTAAGCCTAGTGGAATGACATGAGTCACTGAATAAACTGTAAAGCAGCTCAAACCATGGGAATGGATTTAAGATTTGTGTGACAACACTGTGAAGAACCCTCAACAGTCTTAGAGTAAGATCTTAATTCTGCAATCAACAATCCTCTTATGAAGATAATCTTTTGAGGAACAATTATTTGTAGTTTCAAAATAAGTTCCAGATGCACAGTGTTATAATTCAAGAGTTGTATACTCCACAAGGTAGAACCTCATTTCCCCACTTCACCACCTAACTCAGTTGCCTTCCCTTCTGTCAACTTCAGTCTATTCTCTGCAGCTAAGAGTTGAGGTTTGGGTTTGTTTTTTTTTAAATTTTTCTTCCTCCATATGAATAAAATCATATGGCTTCTTTCTCTTGGCATTTCACTTCAAGTTTCGCATACATTGTCATAAATGGAAGGATTTTGTCATTTATTATTACTGAGTAATGGTCCATCATGTGTGTACATATATATATTTTTTTAATATATTATACTTTCCCTCTCTCTATTCACCAATGAACCATTTGGTTATTTTTTATATAACTTCTTTTTTTGCTTCAAGCAAAATATAAAATGTTTAATCACTTCTTGCACTAAAAATGTATTATAATCCTGTCCTCCCTCAGAAACTTATTAGGAGGGAAGGGGTGAAAATAGATGATATAAATGTGTTTGAAATGTTTTTTCCTTAAAAAAGTGCTCAGGTATAAGCACTTTTCATTTTCTAAGTGATTCCCAGAAAAACACGGATAAAGAAGGGTAGAAATAGTTTGACTGGTCATGAGATGTGACATGAAGGAAGCCAGCTCGGTGTGACCCCCTGCTGTAAGACTTTCTTCTAACCCAATTTCCTTCCCCCAATCCCACTTCTGCCCACTACATATCCATTGTACCCAGCAGCACACAGCACCCACACATCCCCTTTTTGTTTGCCTGCATTGAGACAGTGTCTCTCATCTCAGACATCACACACTGGTGAGCCTTTGCTGCCTGCACCGTCACTCAAGTGAGCTGACTGCAGTGGCCTCGTACCGCTCCATTTTCTAAGTGCTGACATGGAGTGTCTCGCCTCCTGCAGATACCAACTGTCGTTGGGGAGAGTCGTGCTCTGTGCTCCGTGGAGAGTGCCACACGCAGCTGTTTCCGAGGGGTGAGTGCCACCCAGTGTCTGTGAGAGTTGGGTGGAGACACTTTGGTTGAGCAACTTCAATGACAAAGCTATTTGCTGGTATGGCACCCCAGACAACCTAATTTAGGAGCTAGACTTGCCTCTGACTATTCATGTGATGAACTTCCTTCACAGAGCTGGCAAAAACAGTCCAGAAAAGAAAAAAGTGGTATTTTGTTTTGTTTCGTTTTCTATTCTACAGAACAATGATATGCCTAGAAATGCAGCTTACTGTATTTCTAGTCTTACTAGGGCTTAATGGCTCCGGGGTGAGATACAACAATCTTCACACACTTTCTTCTAAGGAAACCTTTTTTGATTTTCTTTTTAGTGAATTATTCATAACAAGTAATATAAAATAAATTATTTAGGGCCTGCTATTGGGGCAGACTTGGGTGGTGGTTGGGAAAATTGGAAATAATGGTGGTAGAAAGGTGCAATGATGGTGGGATTGAGGTATTGGAATGTTGAATGTAATAAATCATCATAAACATCTTTATAAAAAAAATTTTAAGAGAGAAATACAGCTAAGTATGTGGTTGTTTTTCAGGTGCTGAGCCCAGCAATCAAGGAGGAGAAATTTCTCTCTTGGTTGGAGTCTGAGCCTCTGATCCTTTTGTGGCTCCCCACCTGTTACAGACTCTCGGCCACTGAAATGGTCACTCATCCCGTTCGATGTAGAATCTGCAGCAACTTCCCTGTCACAGGGGTGAGGTACAGTTTTTCCTCAGGATTTCACCAATTTCAGTCATGCTCCAAATGGTGACAAAGTTTGAGCTGCATTCTCTCTAGGTTTTGTTGGCAGTTCATTTTCCAAATTTGGAACTCAGCTAAGTTGGCAGAAAGAGATGTCAATAGTTTCCAAAATGAGGGATACTGGTTGATTATAAATGGCAATTTACCTCTAGAAAGAATGAAATATTACTCCATTGACACATAGTCTAACAAGATGACTTTCTGATAACCCTAAGAAGCAAAATCATTTGGCTTCCCCTGTCACTAAAAAAATAAATAAATAAAATTTTAAGTACTTGAGCCATCTATAACAATGGCAGTGGTGGTTTACATTTATTATTAAGTTCTGGGTGGAGTGGTTCATGTGGATAATTTTATTTTAGCCTTGTTATAAACCACACATGCATACACACACACATACACACACACACACACACACGCATGCACACAAAAAGCTGGTGTTATTACTTCCAATTTACAAATGTGCTAGATAGCCTGCTTAAATTCAGTTAGCCAGGAAGAGAGACTGGCCCACTGATTCCTCTCCAACCATGATGTTATGCTGCCTCCCTGTGTAGGCAACTGAGAACATTCAATCATGTAGCTTCAAGGGAGCAGCTCAAGTCCTATCTTCTCTGTGCCTGGAGGAAAGAGAGATTCAGACATTTAGGTTCAAAGGTGAGAAACTCAGATCTTCCCACAGTATTAAGGTGACAGAAAGATCAGCATCTTAGGGCTGAGAACAGGGGTATAGAAACTTGCCTTGTAGCTGACCCTGATTAAATCACTGGCACCACATGTGGTCCCCCATGTACTTCCAGGAGTAAGTCCTGAGTACTTCCAGAAACCCCCCCAAATGCCCCCCAAATCCCATCTTAGTGTAAGGGTGTTGTAGGTTTCCCATAGATAAAAACATAAAGCAGTGAAGTTACTATTATTAAAAACAGGGAGGAGAGAAGAAACCAGCAAGTCTGGTCTAGGTACAGGGGCAGAGAAGGATGGGTACAGGTGGGGGGAGGGGGGGAGAGGGAAGGTAGGCGGTAGGTGGGGGGGAAGCATTAGTGGGAGTGAATGGAGATACAGGTGCAGGAGATGAGGTAGAATGAGGGATGGCACAGCAGGTGATCAAAACCGAGTCAAAGGGAGTGGTGCTGTTCCCAGTAGGCATGGACAGGGGGATGGGAGGGATGGGGGGAGGGTGGGCACCAGTCCTGCATTCTTTGTCCTCTTTCCTTTCCATACTTCTGCTCTTAAACTCAGACCTCAAAAGATGTTTTCCTAGATATGAAAGGTCTGCTGTTTCTATTTAGAAAAGAACATCATTTTTTAATTATTGCTGACAATATGAACTGGATTAGTTAAAACGAATGGATTAGTTAAAACTAACTGGATTAGTTAAGAATTCTGAAGACATCGTGAAACTTCACTGATGAAAAACTGCAATAAGTTGAAGTTTAAATAATGCAACACAAATGAGCAGGACTATTGGACACTTAATAAGTCAAAACAAAGACAACTTCACACTGGGTTCAAAAACAAAACCAAAGCAAAACACAAATATTGAAATACATGCTTTGCATGTTGGATCCTCGAGTTTGATCCCTGGCACTCTTTTTTACCTGTAACATTTAGATTTTATAAGCAACTGCTTGAAGCAGTTAAGCTTGTATTTTTGGTTCTCCAGCAATGCTCCAGCAATAGTCTCAAAGTTTTAGTGAGATTAATAAAGTTTTAGTGAGATTAATAAAGAGTAGACATATTTGACAGATTGAAGTACTAGGAAGAGAGCAAAGGTATGACCTACTAAGTAAGAGAAGCACAAAGGCCACACTCTGTTCCTAAGGCAAATGTTTGATTTTAGCAGAATCACTTATCACTTAATCACTTAACTTCCCGTTAGTCGTCGATTTGCTCGAGCGGGCACCAGTAACGTCTCCATTTGTCCCTGTCGTGTGCTAGTGTAACCCAATGGCATCTGTTTTTAGCAGAATATATCACATATATCACCTCTATAACAAATTACAAAACTTGATTCTTTGTTGTAAAAACATCAACAAGAGACTAATCTCAATTCCCTCACTACACGTTTTGTTTTTTGCTTTTTGAGTCTCACCTGGCGATGCTCAGGGGTTACTCCTGGCTCTGCACTCAGGAATTATTCCTGGCAGTGCTCAAGGGACCATGTGGGATGCTGGGAATCGAACCTGGGTTGGCCGTGTGCAAGGCAAACGACCTACCTGCTGTGCTATCACTCCAGCCCCCACCATTTCTTATATACCTTGTAAGCAGTGCCAGAGTGTGGGGAATTAATACAAGGTGAAGGTCAGCATATTTTCTTAGATAAGTCAACTGCCAACATAAGTTAAAGTGGCCACTATAAAGTGGCCACTATAGGTGGATCCTCAGATAATCATTATTAAATATTTTTATTATAGTTACATTTCATGTAAAAAGTGAATGTTTTTTTCCAACTCTGTGCAAAATAATTGTCAAAGCTTTGTAAAAACTTTGAAAGGTGATGAGAGGAGAGCGCATTAGTTTTATTTTCCTCAAGCAGAAACTTTCTCATTCATTTATTAAATTTCATTAGATTAATGTTCATTGAAAATCTTACCAGGAACCCTCCAAAACAGGGAGTTTATGTTTCTTCCTCCAATAATGGTGGTGTGTGAATACAAATTAAGCCCCCTGCCTTGATGATCTATCCTGATAGTCAGGACAGTGGATTCTCCATTCAGTGATATCCCTTGACTCAAAGCCTACTTTAACCACAGTGTGAGTTCACCTAATAAAGGTCTATGCAATCTGTACAAGTTGTTTACACTCTTTGAAACAGTTTCTATGCTTTTAAAATGAAGATAATAATACTTTAACTTTCGTAGGGACTAGCTTTGTGTGTATAAATACGTATGTAATACACACACTTCCTGCTTCATATAAGTGCTCAAAATGCAATTATTATACTGTTAGTATTCCATCAAGGTACTAGGTATTGAGATAATAGTGGTAAACAAAGTCTGTGAGGGCTGATCTCATGGTGTTTACATTCTCCTGTTTTTCCTTAAAATGATTTTGTTCAAACTTTCAGAATTCTACCCACTGCAAGAGAGCATTCCAAGTATATTTTTCCTGTTATTCAGAGCAATCAACAGGTCTCATAAGTCTGGCATATCCCAAACTCTTCGCTTCTGTCTCCATTATTTTCCTCTTCCTCTTAATGCCTGGTATTCTTTAGCCCAGGAACAGCATTCCTTTTTTTATTTAATTTAATTTTTTATTAAATCACTGTGAGATACAGCTACAAATCTTTCATGTTTGAGTTTCAGTCATAACAATAATTGAACACCCATCCCTCCACCAGTGTGCATTTTCTACCACCGATGTTCCTAGTATCTCTCCCACCATGCCCACCTCACCCCACCCTGTCTCTGTCACATGCACCTTCCTTCTTTCTCTCTACTTTTGGACATCATGGTTTGCAATAACAGATACTGACAGGCCATCATGTTTAGTCCTTTATCTACTTTAAGCACACATCTCCCATCCTAAGTGATCTCTCCAACCATCATTGACTTGGTAGTCTCTTCTCCATCCCAGCTGCCTTCTCCCCTCTCCCCTAACACATGAGGCAGGCTTCCAAACCACAGAGTGATCTTCCTGCTCCTTGTCTCTACTGTCTTTGGGTGTTAGTCTCATATTATGTTACTTTGTATTCCACAAATGAGTGCAGTCATTCTATGTCTGTCCCTCTTTCTGACTCATTTCATTTATCATGATACTCTCCATGACCATCCACTTGTAAGCAAATTTCATGACTTCATCTTTTCTAACAGCCGCATAGTATTCCATTGACTAGATTTGTCAAAATTTCTTTAACCAGTCGTGTACACTAGGTTTGTTTCCAGATTCTGGCTATTGTGAACAATGCTGCAATAAACATACAAGTGCAGATGTCGTTTCTACTGTGCTTTTTTTGAAACCCTGGCTTATATCCCCACAAGTGGTATTTCTGGGTTATATGGAAGCTCAATTTCTAATTTTTGGAGGAAGGTCCATATTGTTTTCCAAAAAGGCAGGACCAGTTGGCATCCCCACCATCAGTGAGAGTCCCTTTCTTCCCACATATGTGCCAACACTAGTTGTTCTTGTTCTTTTTGATATGTACCAGTTTCTGCCAGAAGCAGCATTCTACAGAGTCCAAGTTACTTCTTCAGGAAAAAAAGTCTAACAAGTTCCTGGGAACCTCTTCCCCTGCCTCACTTCCCCTCCCCAATTCCAAGCCAAGCACTTATTTCCCTCTTAATGGTATTTAATCACACATAAATTTCTTGTTAGTAGCTCAAGCTTCTGCATCATCTCTTTTCAGCAATATATGGCATTTGAAAAGTATAGACTTTTTTTTGGCCTTTTAAAATGGGTTGGAAATGCTTACAGAAGCAAGACAGGTCATAAGTGAGAAGTGTGGTGAGTTGAGCAGTGAGTACAGATTTAATCTAAGAGGAGAGTTACCACTTTGATTTGCCAACTGTGGCCATAAACAGACAAATACTTGTCATACCCTGCAGTTGGCAAAGAGGATTGAAATATCAGAAAGCAGGAAGGGAGCATTGGGTACTGATCCCAGCCATTTACAAACAATATGATAGCACTCAAATAGACTTAAAGGTGACTAATTCCTGACTATGAGCTCTCTTCTGCTTTCACGCATCTTCTGTGAGTCTTATGAGAACCCCCTTTTTACCAGGGTATTTCAAGAATCCCTCTTGTCCTTCTGCCCACATGAAATTCAAAGTTGTAACTGTTCACAAAGCAAATTTGTAGTGTGGAAGTGTTTTGGAACTTAGATTAGTTGGGAGCTGGGTCGGGGGGTCACTCAGCTTAGGTCTGAAGGATACCTCCCCTTCTCCTACTTTTTCTTTCCTATAGTCAGACTTCTAAAAATGACAAAATTTTATTTTAAATATAACTCTGGTCTCCCAATAAGTAAGCAAGAATAAATTTTGCAATTTTTTTTGAGAAGTCAGATCTGAAACATTATTAAAATAATCCATTTTTTTTAAGTTGGAAAGTAAATTTAAACTCATTGTGTAGTTAGACAAGTGGTTGCAGTCATTTCATATCCCTGTGCCTGAGGGAAACTTCAGGTTCATTCAAAATCAAATTCATACAGTGAGTGGGGGAGAGTTCATACTCATTCAATACTTCAGACATCTCTTGTATAGTGAACACTGAAGTGTTCACTATCCACTTGATTCTTAGTTTCTTCATTCACCTGCCAGTAGTGCTACACACCTTGTTTGAATTTTCAATTCTAGTTTTATTGGTTTGGGGACTATACTGGGCTGGAGTGATAGTACAACATGTAGGGTCTTGCATGCAGCCCACCCGGTTCCAATTCCTCTGTCCCTCTCGGAGAGCCGGCAAGCTATTGAGAGTATCCTGCCTGCATGACAAAGCCTGGCAAGCTTCCCGGGGCATATTCGATATGCCAAAAACAGTAACAACAAGTCTCACAATGGAGATATTACTGGTGCTCGCTCAAGCAAATTGATGAACAACAGGAGGACAGTGCAGTGCAGTGCAGTGCAGTGGGGAATATACCAGTCAGTGCTCAGGACTTCCTTCTAGCTCTGTGTTCTGGGATCATTCTTGGTGGAGCTAGGGGAAGCATCTGTGGTGTCCAGGACTGAACCACGTTGGCTGTATGCAGGGCAAGCATCTTAGCCCTTTTTTTTTAAAAAATCACTCTGCTCCCTCATTTTTATTTTAATTCCTAGATATAGCTGTGTAAAGTGTCTCAACTTTGACATCTGCCAGTCCTGTTTCCTATCTGATCTTCATGGAAAGCCCCACGAGAAGTCCTATCCTGCAATTCAGCACTGTGCTCAGGTAATATCTAATGCACCATGACAAATTATGAATGAATCATGTTGGCTTAACTACAGCTCCCACCAATAAAAGAGAACCACACGTTCTGCTCCTTTTATAACAGTTAAGTGTAAGGAAGTGTTGCCTCAACCTTAAATATCTCTCATGTAAATATCCTTCCATTGCACAAAGATTTTAGCAAAACCTTTTGAGACCAGACAAAACCCAAAATATTCCAATATCATCAGTCCCATTATATATATACTAGAGAATGTATGTGAGAAATAAGAGAAGACTGTGATTGGAAATAGGCACAAATTGAAAAGAGACCCTTGGTCTGGAAGAACGATAAAGAAAGGCTCTTTGTTGCTAATACATTGGGGGAGACATTTTATTTTTTCACATCTTTCTGGGTCCTAATCTTCAAACAGTAAGGAAAAATAGATTAGAAACCCTACTCTCTCTCTCCCAGTTTTGACTGGAAGAGTACAAAATTAAAACTTTACAGCTGACTTTCAGAAATTTTAAATTTATAATTATAAATGTTCAATATGGGCTGGAGCGATAGCACAGTGGTAGGGCGTTTGCCTTGCACGCAGCCAACATGGCCGACCGGAGTTCGATTCCTCCGCCCCTCTCAAAGAGCCCGGCAAGCTACCGAGAGTATCTCGCCCACACAGCAGAGCCTGGCAAGCTATCCGTGATGTATTCTATATGCCAAACACAGTAACAACAAAGTCTCCAATGGAGACGTTACTGGGCCCGCTTGAGCAAATCGATGAACAACGGGAGGACAGTGACAGAAATGTTCATTAAGAAAATTGAATGCTGTTATTCATCTCTTGTTTTTTGAGAGGAAATGGAAAATAGGATAGCAAGCTGTAAGCCAGGAGCATAATTTTTTATTTTACAGAAAGAACACCTTTTCATCACTGTTTCTATTGGTCAGTTTTTCCATGCAGAATCATCCTGAGATAGTGAAGAATAGAGTTTAATTTTATAGGAGGGTAGTTTCTCTTCATGAGTGGCCCACAAAAATCAAGTGCTTGGATCTTGACAAATGATTTCTAGTAAGCATCGCCTGCTAAACTTCATTAACTCTCAGGTTCATTGGCTCTAATCTATTTCTAAAAGACTGAGGAGAAATAGGGTTTATTAAAGTTAGACTGACACTCTGTGGTCACTTTGTTATTACACTTTAGATTTCAAGTATTAAAAAATCTGCATTCTCTTCCTTTTGAGTGGAGATATTTAGTATTATGTCTTCTAGTGGTGAGTGAATCTGCTGGACTTACATACAGCATTAAATGTCCGAGCTTTCTTTTGAAGATTTATTTAAAGGTTCTCATGAGACTCCATATCCCAAATAGGAGAGTCATTTAGTCCTCTTTCATACTTGTTTCCAAAGTCATAATTTCACATTACAGGGATGTTCTAAAGAAGATGAGCTATGGTAGATGGAGGTGAGTATTGATTTATATTACATGTGCGTGTATAGAGCAAGAAGGTTAAAAATTCCAGTGATAGGAAGTAATATGATCTTTTTGTGTATGATTTTTAAAAAGTGAGATCAAATGACCAAAGAACATTTCTGAATGGAGCACAGCATTTGTGAGGCCTTACACTGAGGAAACCCACTGAAGAAAACAGCAGAACCACAGACAAGTCCAGAGCTAACAAGAGCTTCCCCTGGGTGGCAGATGTGGAGAGATAAGCAGGAGCGGGAGCAGAGAAACAGATTGTAAGAGAAAATGCAGCTGCAAGCTAAGCAAACCAGCACTCAGAGAGAAAATCTCAACTACGGGGAAAGGATGTTGAATTCGAAAGATTTCGGAGCATCAGTTTCAGACGAGCACTTGCTAAATCAAAATCAGACTCGGGTCTCACTGGCCAAACAGTGTAGGCTGCTTCTCCTTGTGTGACGAGAAATCAGTCATTTCTGAGGTGAGACATTCCTGTAGGGTTGCAGTCTATGCTCAGCCCTAACACACAACTTCTGCCTGAGCTAATGGTGCTTCCCTCACCCCCTATCATATCCTCGCCCCCATCCCCCACCACTACACACACACCTGAAAAGTTCAAGCTGAATTGCTAAGCATTTAAGCTTTTCATAGAAATCAACTTTGTTTTTTGGGTTTTTTTTTTTTTTGCTTTTTAGGTCACACCCGGCGATGCATAGGGGTTACTCCTGGTTCTGCACTCAGGAATTAATTACTTCTCGTGGTGCTGGGGGTGGGGGGTGGACTATTTGGGATGCTGAGAATCGAACCCAAGTCAGCCACGTGCAAGGCAAATGCCCTACCCGCTCTGCTATCGCTCCAGCTCCTAGAAATCAATTTTGTATTCATAATTCATAAAGTCCAACTCACAAGTCATAAAGCCGCAGGATTTATTGAACCCAACAAAGGGTGGTGCAGCCGTACTTGGCCCAGACTGGGCAAAACTGTTCACGTGGGGAACATGACCCAGTAGGATCACAGTCTTGACTCTGCCTACCCCCCAAACAGACTAAAAGCCTCAACTAGATTCAACGGACTCCACCCTTCAGGCCTGATTTACTGTACAAACTGACAGGTTTGTCATGGCAACCAGCTTCAGATGGAAGAAAGCTCCTCTGACATGCGCACACCAGACTTACTCTCCAACCCGAACTGGAGGACACCAAGTACAGAAGATCCCCAGACATGCCATGTTGTGCCTGTAACTACTTTGTCACATAGAGATTAAGAACCGCATGTACTGAGCAAAGACAGGATGCAGTTGTCCTCAGGTGACAGCTGGGTACAACCATTCCTGAGAAAGCAGCTGGTGCCTGCCATCCCAGAAGTTACCACCCTGGATGTGAGCCCGGCCCATCAGACCGTGGTTTGGAGTAACCATCTGGAACCTGAGCTGGCAAATGCAAAAATCCCTCCACCGTTATAAAAGGTTAGCTTGTTGAACGGCTATTATTGGATACACATGAGCACAATCTCGAGTCACTGACCAAGTCATTTGAATTGTGACACCATGTCTACTCCCAGACCCCAGCAATTATGAAGTCTGAGCCAGAGTCCAAGCCAGCTAGATTTTGGTGCTAATGGCATCTACAAGGCCATAAATCCACAGTTGTCATCCAGCTGTACTCAAATCAGGATCATAAGCACCAGATAAAACTTGCAAGGAATTTAGAAAACCTCAAAAGGCATTTCTGGTGGACAGAACTCAGCAGAGCATAGGCAACTAGCCTGATATTGCTAATAGTAGCACTCTATTACAGGGTTCTTGTAGATGCAGTCTTACCATCCATGAAGTACCAGGAATAATAAAAAAAGGAATTCCGCTATGGTCACAGAGCCCAGGAAAGTCCAATTTTTAAAAGAAAAAGTGATCACATTAATAGATGCAGGAAAAGATTTTGACAGTAAGCATTTACTCATGATCTAAAAAAATCTCTACAAGATAGGAATAGAAAGAACAAGAATATATTTCAAAATAGTAAAGACCAGCAAGCCCATAGCCAACATCATACTCAACAGTGAAAAACTGAAAGCTGCCTCTCTGAGATCAGGTACAAGGCAAGTATATCTATTTTCTCCACTGCTATTCAATACAGTTTCGGAAGACCTAACCTGTGCCATCAAGCAAGACAAAGAAATCAAAGGGATCCAAATTGTTAAAAAAGAAGTTAAACTATCACTATTTGCACATGCTATGATAAGACTCCACTAAAACATATTTAGAAACAATGAATCAATATAGCAAAGCAGCAAGCTACACAGTCAGTGCACAAAAATATGTTGCTTTTATATATACAAATAATGAAATAAAATAGAAAGAAATAAAATCAACAACCTTGTTCAAAATTATGCCAATAAAGTCAAGTACTTAGGAATCAGCTTAAAAAGGATATGAAAGATATGGATATCAAAATCTTTAATCACAATTTGGTTGAAGAGACAGTACAGTGAACAGGGATCTTGCCTTACACACAACCAACCATGGTTCAATTCTCATCATTCCCCTACACCATCAGGAGTAATTGCTGGGTAAACCCTGGGCATTGCCAGGCGTGCTCCCACCCAAAGGAAATTTTAAATCACTATTGAAAGAAATAGAAGAGGATAGCAAGAAATTTTTTTAAAAAATTATATGTTCATGAATTGAAGGAATTAACATTGTCAAGAAGACCTTTCTGCCTAAAATTTATACGCATTAAACGAAATTCCCATAAAATTCCAATGCCACTCTTTATGGACTTATAACAAACTCTATGAAAATTTATATAGAATCATAAAATTCCCTGAATATCCAAATCCATTCTGATAACAGAAAAAGAAAAAAAGAAAATGGGAGGTATTGCACTCTCTGACTTTAAGTTGTACTATAAAACCATATTAATCAAAATTGTACAGTTTCATAGATAAGATAAACCCTCAGTTTTGTAATATGATATACCTTCAACCAATGAAAGAGAATTAAAATCACAGAGATAAAACCTTAGATTCTTGGACAATATATTTCTAACAAAATGGCTGCATGAATGAAGCAAGGATAGTCTCTTCAACAAGTATTTCTGGGAAAATTGGATATCTACATGCAAAATTAAAGATAAAGAAAAATGAAAGAAAGTAGATATCTCTCATAACATACAGAGAAGTTAATTCAAAATGGATTAAAGTTAACTTAGAGTAAGTTGAGATTTTCAAAGAAATAAGAATAGAGCTTATATATGACCCAGTGATTCTATTTTTTGGCATCTATCACCAATACATAAATACATTAATTCAAATAGATATGTGTACACCTATGACTACTACAACACTAAGCATAATATTCAGGATATGAAAACAATCCAAATGCCCAATGTGAAACGGCTGCATGCATATAGAAGTTGTGGTATACATACACAGTGGAATATTATGCAGCAAAACAGAAGATGAAATCTTGCAGTTTTCTGCAACATCCATGAAATCGGAGGGCATACTGTTAAGTGAAATATGTCACAGTGAAGAATAAATACTGGATGATGTCATGCATCTGTGATATAGAGAAGGAGAAACAACATAAGGTAATAGAACAATGACAAACCCCTGGCTTTGGATTACAAAACTCAGATGACCAAGCAGTGTGGAAAACGGAGGGAGGGGGAAAAGTTGGTCTGAAAGTAACATAAGGATACTGATGAGAGATTCTTTGGTATTTCAGTGGTGGTGAGGTACAATAATTTTGTACATCAAAAGCATGAATGTTAATATAAGTGATAACCTGTTGCCTAAACTACAATGAAAATAAATTATAAATTAATATAGAAATAGTCACCCCAATAATCAAAAACTTTCATGGTGGCCTTTCCCTCAAAAAAAGGAAAGTAGACTGTCTAGAATAATTCATCACCATTTCAATATTTTCCATCCCAACAGATGTCAGCAAAGGAGAATACAAAACTCCTTGTCAGTTCTCTCAGAAACAAACTGCTTCAACGGCATTGGAGGAGGACAGAAGCTGCTAGAAGCAGGCAGTGGCTGCTAGATCAGGGGAATCCAAAGGACATCGCTAACCAGGAACGTGTTCGGTGAGTATCTTTCTAAGTGGCAATCCTGCAGACTGGCAACCCAGGGACTAAGGGATGCCGTTATGCAGCCTGCACAGGGCACATACAGCAGCTTTTAGGATGTGAAAAATCAAATGAGGTAGATAAGGTAGGAGTGAGGAGGGAAATATGCTTTTCTCTGTAGAAATGACCTTTAATTTAATGAAAAGAAAAAATGTCTTCAGTGACCCATTCAATTATTGCAGTTATGCTACCTTTATTTCTTTCAACAAAAGACATCAGAAAATCACAGAAGACTTTAAATATTAAAGGATTTGAATAACTTTAATCTATATCACTTTCTATGTTTTGGTCTGCTTTTAAAATTTTAATTTCAACTATTTTTAATTTTGCCTTAACAATCTTGCTACAATTTATTTTATTTTTTGAGTTTTTCACAATAATTTATAATATTCAATATTCCAATACCAATTCCACCATCATTGTATCTTCCCACCCCCATCATTTCAAATTTTACCACCACCACCCAAGACTGTCCCCAAATCAGGTCCTAAATAATTTATTTTATATTGCTTATAACGAATTATGTGTTAAAAATTATCCAAAAGTGTTTCCTTAGGGGAAAATGTGAAGACTATTGAATCTTACCCTGTAGCCGTTTAGCCCTTGTATAAGAGATTGTTGTTACATGTCTTAACATGTAACAACAATAGTGTGCTAATTTATTTTTTTCTATCAAGATCTATTACCTTCTATCTTAACCCTATCAAATGTGGTATGCTACTCTAGGTACATTAGTGCTACTCTAGATTTCATCAGAGTATGAAATGAAATCTCACATGGCCAAAAATGCAGCTGTGTGCTCCAGGGATACTAAAATTTTAAATTGGGTGGTATAATTTGAGATGACTTTGGGATCTGGAAGCATCCCTGCAGGTTGCTGATCTCTTCTGAGATTTATTTGTGAGTCTCTGGATCATGGCTGTTAATGAGCTTATTTGGTGCCCAAGACAGTTCATGGGCATGACCTCAAGGCTCCCCAAAAAGATAAGGAAATGGGGGGAGGTCACCCATTCCCAATGCCACAGATTCTGGAAATTTCCTTCACAAAAGCCACATACATGAGTTTTTCAGAAGATTCATTCTCATGCATAAGGGGTTCATACCAGAGACTGTGGAGATTAGCCTTGAGCAAGGCAGTGCTTGGGTTCAGGAGGTTTTAGGCTGCCGAGGCTCTATTGAGGCTGGTGACGGGCTCACTCATCCCCCTCCAAGTTCCCTGGAAATGAGGTTCAGCCTGCCACAGCACTTAAAGACATCTCTGCAGCTTGTGGCTCTCTTCCAAGATTTATTTATAAGTTTTGCTTCAATTTTTAGACTTCATGATTTATAATATTGTTCACTGTAATGTTTCAAACATTCAGTGTTCCAATTCCACAAACACCACCATGTCAGTGTCCATAAACCACTGTTTCGGGTTCACTCCCAATCCCCAGTCCCCATACTGTTAGTGACTCAGTTCTATAGATAAAATCTCAGAGTCTGTTATCACTGGCTCTTTTTTATTCCCTTGCTATGTTTTCTATATCACACACATGGTATACATTGTTCTGTATTTATCCTCCCCTCTTTGATTCATTTTGCTCAGCATGATACCCTTCAGTTCCAATCATGTAGCAGCGGACTTCAGAATTTCTTTTTTTTCCTTTTAGCTGAGTAGTATTTCTATGTATATAACAGCTTAGCCACTCACCTGTTCTTAGGCTCTTGCATTGTTTCCAGATCTCCCCCATTGTAAATGATACTGTAATGCACACAAGGGTACAATATATCTTTGAGTTAACATTTTTAGGCTCTCGGAGTGTATGCCAATAAGTAGAATGCCTAAGTCAAATGGAAGCTCAAAACTATATTTTTTATAAAAAGGGAAAAGACACTCAGCATTCTATTCTATTTATATCTTAATTTTACCAAAACAAGAATTTTTCTCTAATACAATATTCCACTCTTCTTTTCACCTACATTAAATGAAGAGTATTTACTGCATCATTAAGTTTCAAAGTGTTTTTTTAATATCCTCACCATCAGCCTTATAAGGAAATGCTCCAAATTACAATTAACTCCTTATCATTCAACATTTTGGTTAGTTTCAAACTTTTCTCCTCTCTCCAAATGTTCTGTAGGCAATATTCCTACATATGTGTTTTCCTATTTTTTAAAAATATATTTTTTAATTATTACAGTATCATGAGTTTTTTAAACAGCCTTCCCTTCACTAGTGTACAATTTCCACCAGTAACTTCCCTCCCAATCTCTCTCTCTCTCTCTCTCTCTCTCTCTTTTCTCAAATGGGTATTGGGTAAATAATTTTTCCCATTCCATGGGCTGTTTTTGTATACTGCTCACAATTTCTTTCGAGGTGCAGAAATTTCTTAGTTTAATGTATAGCACTGTCCACTGTATAGCACTGTCTTCCCATTGTTCATTGATTTGCTTGAGCGGGCACCAGTAACGTCTCCATTATGAAACTTGTTGTTACTGTGTTTGGCATATCAAATACGTCATGGGGAGCTTGCCAGGCTTTGCCGTGCAGGCTCGTTACTCTCGGTAGCTTGCCGGGCTCTCTGAGAGGGGCAAAGGAATTGAACTGGGGTCAGCCCGGGTTGGCTGTGTGCAAGGCAAGCACCCTACCCACTGTGCTATCACTTCAGTGATAGTTTAATGTAGTCCCACATATTTACTTTTGGTTCCACTTGCCTGGTCAATGATGTTTTATCTTTGAAGATGCCTTTAACTACCAGGTCATGGAGGATTATGCCTGAGTTTTCTTCCATGTACCTTTAGGATTCAGGTCTGATGTTGGAGTCTTTTATCCATTTTGTTTTGACTTTTGTACATGGCATCAGAAAGAGGTCTGAGTTTTTAAACATGTTTTAATTATTACAGTGCCATATTTTAATTACTACAGCTTTGTAGTGCAGTTTGAAGTTAAGGAGAGTCATGTTTCCCGTTTCTTTTACCCTAAGATTGCTTTGGCTATTCACAGGGGTCAAAGGGGGCTGGGAGAGATAGTGGGTGAGCAGTGGGTCTGCTATTTTAAATGATTTTCAGGATTTAATCTACTTCTGTAACAAATGCCATGGTAATTTTTATAGTGCACTGAATCTGTATAAAGCTGTGGAGAGTATTGCCATCTTATCAATGTTCCTCTTTCTGAACCATGAACAGGACTGTACTTCATTTGTTTCCATTTCCTCCTGTCCTCTTATATCTCCTAGTAGTATTTTGTAGTTTTCTTTGAATAGAGAGGTCTCTTGTTGCACTGATTCCTAAGTACCTGATTTTTTTGAAGCAAAACTGTGTATCAAAAAGACAGATGGATCATTGTATAACTGAAACCCAAGCACAAAAATTTATGTCTATAACTGTACCTCATGGTGTTTCACTAATAAAAAAAGGAACAAGGAGCAAGGAACACCGCTTCTCTAAGTAGCATTGGGAAAACTGGTCAGCCATATGCAGTAAATGAACTTAGACTCCTTTCTAACACCATGCAAAATATCAAAATAAAAATGGATTAAAGACCTTAATATCAGACCTGAATTCATAACCAACATTGAAGAAAAATAGATAGAACTTTCCATGAAACTGAACCTAAAGAAGTCTTTAAGGAATCAATGTCATTGGATAAGCAAACAGAAGCAAGATAATCAAATGGCGCTATCTTACAGTAAGAAGCTACTGCACCTCAAATGAAACATGGACCAAAATATAAAGATACCCTCCACACTAGGAGAAATTACTTGCCCAGGACTCATTTAATAAAGAGTTGATATCTGAGATATTTAAAGCACTGGTAGAACTTTACAAGAAAAGAACATCCAACTCCATCAAAAATGGGAGGAGGGTCAAAATGTACAGAAACTTCCTCAAAAAAGACAATACAAATAGCCAGAAAGCACACAACAAATGTTCCACATCACTGATCCTCAGGGAAATAAGTCAAAATGAGATATTACCACACACCACAGAGAATGGTTCACATCAAAAACAACAAGAACAACCAGTGTTGGCGTGTATGTAGGAGCTGAGGGAGGTGTGAGTACCATCTGACCCAGCCTTTCTGGAAAACAACATGAACATTCTTCAAAAAACTAGGAATTGGGCTTCCATTTGACTCAGCAATTTCATTTCTTGGAATATACCCCAAGGGCCCAAAAACACAATGTGGAGAAAAGACATTTGCACCACTCTGTTCACTGGAGCACCATCCACAATAACCAAAATCTAGAAACAAGCCATGTGCCCAAGAACAGATGGCTGGATAGAGAAACTATGGTACACATGCATAGTGGAATATTACTCAACTATAGTAAAGTAAAGGCCCTCCCGTTGATCATCGATTTGCTTGAGCGGGCCCAGTAACGTCTCCATTGGAGACTTTGTTGTTACTGTGTCTGGCATATCGAATACGTCACGGGGAGCTTGCCAGGCTCTGCCGTGTGGGCAAGATACTCTCGGTAGCTTGCCTGCTCTCCGAGAGGGGCGGAGGAATCGAACTCGGGTCGGCCATGTTGGCTGCGTGCAAGGCAAACGCCCTACCGCAGGGCTGGAGCGATAGCACCGCGGTAAGACGTTTGCCTTGCACGCAGCCAACACGGCCGACTCAACTATAGGGAATGATAAAAATCATACAATATGCTGCTACGTGGATAGGATCTGGAGCATATCATAAGTAAAGTTAGTCATATGGAAAGAGACTAACACAGAATGATCTCTCTCAGAATAAGTAGCTTGTAAAGAAATATAGCAGGAGAACAACCTACCTATTGCAAAGGCAATAGAAACAAAGAACACGAGTACTAGTCATCCACAGGAAGTATGAGTGGTGAGGAGGAATAGGACTGGAAAGTCCTCACACTACAACAATGATGGAAGGAAGTGGTCAAAAGGGAAAAGGGAAAAGAAGGGGGTGCTTAAAGGTGGTAAAGCATTATGCATGAAAAAATAAAATACCTGGA